GCTGGGGGAAAGAGGGGGGGGGAAATATGGACATGGAGGATGAGGATGAGAAAGGGGCATCTTCCTCGGTCCTCCATTTTGAGTGGGGGGGCGTCGGGAAGCATCGAAACAACACGTGTGGAACCCGTACACCCCCCAACCCGACATTCGGGTTTTCGGGTTGGGTCGGGGTGGCTTGGTAGGTAGTCAGTAGCCGACACGTTCCCGCCCTGCGCGCCTGGCAGAGCCCGCGGGGCGGAGGAGCCAGCCGCCCACACATCACAACTCGCGCCTGCCTTCAAGCGGACGCCAGCAGGAGGGTCACCCGACGGCAAGTGAGCGGAGCGGGAGACGCCCCTCATCCTTGCCGTCCCAGAGAGGGGGAGAGAGAGATAGAGAGAGAGAGAGAGAGAGAGAGGGAGCGAGGCCCGAAGAAGCCATGCGAGAAAAGAAGTGCCTAGGGCGACTGAGAGGGCCGTGCTCAGTCTGGGCCGTCAGTGTCCACGCTTGGCCTGCGACGCAAGACGATGCACCTGCGCGGAACACGAACTCTGGACTCGGCCCCGAAATGTCAGCTTCGTTTCTCGACGGAGAGGCGGAGGAGCAGGAGGAGGAAGAGGAGGAGGAGGAGGAGGAGGAGCACGCAGGAGCAGGAGCAGGATATCAGGGAGGATGGGCCAACGGCGGAGCGGCGGAGGCAAGCCCTGTGAAAGCACAGATCCCCTCAGGGCAAGATTTGGGCCGAGTCTTGTCCTCAGGAGCCCCCGTTGGGGCTGGGGCCCCGCGGGGAGAGGAGGGGGCAGGAATCAGCAGGGGGAGGGAGGCAGAGGTCCCCGAAGGGCTCGGGAGGCCCAGGCAGGGCCCAGAGCGCCGCAGAAGCCGCGGCCCTCCCTCGAGAGACCGCCCGCCGCCCCGCGCCGACGACCGGCGGACGGCGACGGGTGGCCGACGACGACGGCAGTCGGCAGACGACGGCGGACCGGCGGACGACGACGGCGGCGGTGAGCCGACGACGGCGGGACCAGGGCGGCGGCGGCGGCGGCGGCGACCGGCGGGAGCGAAGGAGCCAGGCGCACGCGCCCGAGGGCCCCGCGCCCCTGCCCTGCGCTCCCCCGCGCGGCAGGCGCCCGCGCGGAGGTCGTCGCCGTCGCCGCTGCAGCCGTCGCCGCGGCCGCGGGCCCGTCGGGTCATCGTGGGGTCGGCGGTGCGTCGCCGCGGCCGCGGGCCCGTCGGAGGTCCTGGCGCCGCGATTTCCTCACCACGGGCGTTCTCGCTCGATTGCGGGCCCTGGGGCCCTTACAGATCGACCCGGCTCGAGAAGTGACACAGAAGGATGGGGTCTGGGGTCTTGGGCGTGATTTGCAACGTCGGATCTCAGGGTCGGATCTCAGGGTCGGTTCGGCCGCCGTTGCCATTGCCCTCGCGTGTTGGTCGCTGGTCCGCCTCTGAGCCGCTCGACCTGCCCGCGCGCCCGGCGGGCCTGCGGACAGAGAAGTGTTGGTCGTCGGTCGTCGTTGTAGCCGGGGTCGTCGTCGCCGTCGTTGGTCGTCGCCGTCGTCGCCGTCGCCGTCGCCGTCGTTGCCGTCGCTGTCGTCGTCGTCGCCGTCGCTGTCGTCGTTGCCGTCCCGCCGTCGTCGCGGACGGCGCCGAGGTGCACCCGCTCCTTCCGCGCAAGCCGTTCGCGAAGCTGCTCGACAGGCGGCCCGGCCCGGGCTCGCGCCTGGAGGAAGATACGATGCTGTTTCTTCCTCAGTCGAGCCTGTTACGTCCGCTGCTGGGAGGAGCGGTAAGAAACGTGCGGGGAGGGGGGCAGGCCCCACCACAGCTGTGGCGTCGTGCTCGCAGGCATGGTGTGGTGCTGACAGGCACGGAACGCTTCCAGACGCCCCCAGAGGCGGCCGTCGTCCTCGTTCTCGTCCTCGTCCTCGTCCTTGTCGTCCTCGTCGTCCTCGTCGTCCTCGTCGACGGGGGCATTGGCTTCTCGGACGGCGCCGACGGGAGCGACGGGCAGGAGGAGCTCGAAGAGCAGGGCACCGTCGCTGAGAGCGTCGACGGAGGTTTCGACGACAGCGTCGGCTCGAGCGACGAGGGCAGCGACGAACGATGCTGAGGTCGTGCCTGCCCACAGGGTTCAGCATAGGACGCCCAGGCCGCGCCGCCGCGAGCGCAGGAGGGCCCCCGACGGCTGCTGCTGCGCACCGGAGGGGTTCGTGTAGTACTTCGGGGATCGCCTCGGCCGCCATGCATGGACGGAGCGCGTAGACGACGGCGGCCGAGCCGTGATGGCGTCGCTACTGGACCCGGTCACGTCGTTCGAGTTGGCTGACGACAAGCTGTTCGATGTGGGCTTCGCCGCCGCCGAGGCAGGGCCGCGAGACGGCACTGCCCGCGGAGTGAGCCGTCGGGGCGGCGGCAGCGCTGGCCCCTTCGAGGCGGGGCGGCGGCTCCCGCGCGCGCGCGCGGGGGCGGGCGTCCGCGGGCGACGGCCGTCCGCGGACGCTCGGCGAGGTCCCCCCGTGGGGCATCGCCAGCGCCCACGACCGTCCACAAACGTCGTCACCGTCGTCGTCGTCGTGGCCGTCGTCGTGGCCGTTGTCGCCGTGGTTGTCGTCGACGTCATCGTCGTCGTCGTCGTCGTCGTCGTCGTCGTCGTCGTCGTCGTCGTCGTCGTGGTCGCCGTCATCGTCGCCGTCCTCGTCGTCGTCGTCGTTCTCGTCGTCGCCCTTAATGTTGTCGTGGTCGTCGTCGTCGCCGTCGTCGTGCTCGTCGTCGTCGTTGTTGCCGGCGTCGTCGTCGTCGTCGGCGTCCTCGTCCTCGCCCTGGTCGCCGTCATTGTCGTCGTCGTCGTCGTCGATGCCGTCGCCGTCGTCGTTGCCGTCGTCGTCGTCGTTGTCGTCGTCGTCAGCCGGCGCTCAGCCCCCTCCTCCCCCCGCGCGGGGCCCGCCCGCGGTCGTGCCCCCCCCCCCCCCCCCCTGGGCACGACCCCCCCCCCCGTAACGGACGTTACAGGGGGGAATGCAGCAACAAGTTTTTGTTTTTCGTGGTGGGCGGTATGGCCTCGGTCGCGCTGTGCTTTATCCTGCGCTGGATTGCATTGCGTTGCGCTGCGTTGCCCCCCATCCATCCTGCTCTCTTCTTCCCATCCTCCCTCCTGCTGCTGCGCTCGGCACTGCGTCGACAAAGTTCAGGCGTTGGCCGATCTCTGCCCCCCCACGGCGGCGCCACACGTGCTCGCCGTGCTGTTTTGTCTCCTTTGTCGAGAGGGCCCCCGCCCACGAGTGAGCAGCGCTTCCCGCGTGGACACTGATGCTGGAGAGGACAGTGGGCCCCCGTCCATCAGGGCGCGCCCAGATCTGCAAGGCCAAGGCCCTGCTCCCGCGCTCGCGCTGAGACGCCGCTGCCTCGTCGCGCCTTGCTGGCGACGCGAGCGCCGCGCGCCCGCGGCCCGCCCGGCGGTGGAGCGAGGGCAGCCCTCCCCCCCGCCCCCCTTCGCTTGCCCTGCCAGCCCCCGCCTGCCCCCCCCCCCTTCCCGGCAGCGAAGGAGTAGGATCGCCGCTGGGGGCGCCAGCCCCCGGCGCCATCGCTCAGACGCAAGAGCGACCCTTCGCCGGGGTGACCGCCGGTGCGGCCCCGCTGGGGCCCCCCGATCGCCGAAGGCGAGGCGGCAGTGGCGTCTTGCGCGCTTGCGTCTGGTCCCCTCGCGGCCCCTGAAGGGCCGCGCACCGAAGGTTCCCTGTTCAGAGTCACTCCTGCGTGAAGCCGAGGGGAGCGCTGGCGGCACACTCACGCGCTCCCCTCTGGCGGCGTGAGCGCGCGGGGAGGCGGGGGGTGTCCCTCCCTCGCCGCGGCCTCGGCCTCGGCCGCGGCCGCGCCCTCGGGAGTTTCCCCTCGAGGGCCGCTGTGTCAAGCCCCGCGTCGGCCTGGAAACTGTACGATGCCATGCCGCGCCGCCCGTCGCAGCATCCATAGTCGCGAACCGCCATGAAAGACATAGCACAACTCTAGACATCACTACTGCCCATGATTCCTCTGGATAGGGATCGCACAACTCTATATGGAAATATTGCACATGGCTGATTGCAGACGTGCGTCCTATGAACATCGCACAACTCTAGCCAACAACGTTCACATTGACTCAGTGCTGCACCACCAAAGCCGCCACCGCCCGCTTGACCGCATCGAGTGCTGCGCCACTGATCTAGTCACCGCCCGCACGTGTATCATGCGCAAGGTAGAAGACCGCTGTCACCATACGCCACCAGCATGTCGCCTATCATGTGCGTGATCGCTCCTCAGGTACTGCTGCCAGCACTTGCCACAAGCCGTTGTACGAGAAGCCAATCGACATCTTCGCCAGGGTACTCTTCACCCAGACGAGGAGGCGCCATGGTGAGCTTCAGCAAGCGCATGAAAGGTGCGAGGTCCGTCGGTGTTGATCACCCGACAGCTCGGAGCAGCAGTTGATGATCTGCCAGTCCGCAGCCGCATTGTCGTGGTAGAGCTCCCCGCAGGCGTAGGGCTCCAAGAGCTGAAGAAGAGTATCGCAGTTGGGTAGCCAGTGCCGCCCGTTGATTGTGCTCAGCATGCGCCTGCTCTCGACGAGGTTCGGCTCGCGGAGCAGTCCGCCCCCGTCTCTGCAACGAGGCAGGGGTCGAGGGGGCATCACAACGCAGCTCACTGGGGGGGAGATCCACTACTTGGCATTGTTCTCGGCGAGGACCATCGAGGAGCATTTTAGATCACCTTGCGGAAAATACGCGCACGAAGCAAACACTTGCACGGGGGAGTGGACACCGGAGCGATGGCGAGATGATGATCAGTTGATTTAGCAGCTCTTGCCAGTGGGTCATTATTGCCTGCGCCATTCGATGACATAGCTCTGGTGGGGAGGTGAGCGTTTTCCACCACCACAACCATAAGTTGGAGGGGGAGGGGGTCCTCCTCCTCCTCCTCCTCCTCCTCCTCCTCCTCCTCCTCCTCCTCCTCCTCCTACTCTTCGCCCTCCTCCTCCTCCTCCTCCTCCTCCTCCTCCTCCTCCTCCTCCTACTCTTCGCCCTCCTCCTCCTCCTCCTCGTCCTCCTCCTCCTCCTCCTCCTCCTCCTCCTCCCCTTCCAACGTATGGTGGCGGTGGTGGAAAACAGGCCCATCATGAGCTGTTCGGCACTGCGCTGTCCCCTTGATGCGGCCGAGGGCTGTGTCGTCTTCTCCTCGGGGTGTGCAGCGGCCTCTGTGCGGGTTTATTTGCACGAGCTGTTCGGCTCGGGCAGGTGCGTCGTGAGTAGAGCGATCGTTGTTAGGTTCGATCCGTAGTCGCATTGTCGGGATCTCGCAAAGGGGGGGGGCCACAGGGGGGTGAGTGAGTTCGGTCCGCCGCCGCATCGAACCGCAGGAAAACAATGCAAAACGAGGTCTCCGGCCGCCGCCGGAACCCGAGCGGCGTCGACAATCGAGGCGCGCGGGGGGCATCGTTTTTCGGAAATTTCGGAAATTCGATGCACCAGCGGATCGAACTCACCCCCCCCCTCAGGGTCCCCCCCCCCTGTTGGTGGGCCCTGACATTGGTCCAGCGTGGTGGTGCGGATGTCGGAGTGTCGCGCGAGTGCGCGCGTCTCAGTCAGTCCCCTGGGACTTACCGCGTGCGGTTTCCAGTCGCTCGTGTTGGGTGCTCGATGATCATCGGCACTCCTGTGCAGGCTGCCACCTGTGCGAGGTAGAGCGTTGTGCGGTACAACGCATTGGCGAGGGACATCTGCGCCTATTCGCATTCACTGGCCGTTGGGATGCCACATATGTGCTCCCAGTTGCGCAACAGTGGGCCCTGGTCTGCCAGGGTCCAGTGCCTCCCACCTTGCTGCGGACCATGTCTCACATGGCGGCCTGGCCGCGATGACGAGTACGCGGCCTCCCCCGATGGCCTGGATCCAATGTGATCGGGTCGGTGAGGTCTCCGACCGTAGGGTCCGTGACGGTGTCCAGGGACAGCACCCGGTTTTTTGGCGTCGGTCTAGTGGTGCTCGAAGGTGCATTGGAGGTCCTCATCGCGCCAGCGCACAGCAAAGAGATGTAAGATCACCTTGCAGCTTCCTGCTTCAATGCGCGGTGGGGCCCGCAGCACTGGTCTCAGTGACCGCGGCGGCTGGTACGAAGGGGTCTCGGCACAGCAGTCGCCCAATGCCGCCCCCTGGAGCGCCCGAAGACTCGCTTGACCAGAAAGGGGGCCTTGCTCGCTGGGAACCCACATCCCTTGAGCTCAGCTATATCTGCTGTTTCTTTCGCCCGCCGCTGTTCTACCTCGGCGTCGCCGAGTGGTGGTCCCAGGTTGCGTCGCTGTGCAAGGCAGCTGGAGCCATGGTAGCGCAAGCGGTGTATGAGTCTCGGCCGCGCAGAGAAGCTTCTTGCCACATGCTCCGCATGCCGAGCCCGGGGCGTAGCGCTGTACCAGGTCAGCAGGCTGGTGGTCCCTGTGATGGTGAGTATTACTACGGCACGCCCCTGCTGCGGCGAAGTCCCGTCCACAGAAGCATCGGCAACGCTGTGGTGGTACGGGTGGCTCGGGTGTGTCGTGTGCTCCCCTTAGTTCGCTGCAGCTGTCAGTGCCGCTCCAGTCCGCTGGCGTCCTCCAGTTCATGCCACGCGGGCCCTCCGCGTGGCACGATAGAGGCTCGTCCCAGAAATTCCTCGTGTGCGGCCCGCGCATACTCCACCCACTGAGTGCCACCGTCCAGTGGCTTCGCTTTCTGCCGGCCTCCACAGTGTGCCGTTTGAGCCATGCGAGATCATCGCACACTGTTGCACTTCCTACAGCTCAGGAGCGAAAGAAGGACGTACACGTACATGAATCCACGCCGGTTTTGAGAGTACGCATTGCCCGAAAGTTCGTATCACGCGGCCGGTCTCGCAGATCGAGGGGCCGTGTTCATGTACATAGCTGGGCGCGTACGTCCTTTGTGGGCTCCCTAACAGCATCAAGCATCTGGAGCATAGCCAGTGGCCCGTGGGCCAGCCAGGCGTAGGAGGTGCCCAAGTCTGCAAGCTCGGTGCACGGCCATGGGTGGCGGACGTCCTGCACTGCGTCATCTGTGGTCTTGGTCTCCCGGTGGTTGCCCATTCTCAGGTTGAGGCGGTACCCCAGCATTGGCGTGCCAGCAAGGCGGCCAGTTCTGCAGGTGCGTATTGGCCAGTGCGTCCAAGTGTAGCAGCCTTCTCGCGTGTGGCACCGCACGCGCGTGCTTCAGTGCGCGGCCGACTGGCGCACGCGCGTCTCAGTGTTTCTGGATGTTGTGGGCACGCGCAACACTGATCTTGCCTTCCACGTCGCCCTCCTCCCCGTCCTCCCTCTCCTTCTTCATCCTCATCCTCTCCTAAACCCTTCGGGAGTCGTCCAGAAGCCACCAGATACTGCCCAGAACCTTCAGAGGCCAATCTTGACCTCAGGCCAGCTTCCAAAAATATTGAGCCCCCGCAGACCTCCGCCAGCACAAGACAACCCAATCATCACCCTCCGACGGCGACCGACGGCGAGGACCGACGACCGCGATGACCGACGGCGATGGCGACGGCAACCGCGACGGCGACGGCGACGGCGACGACCGACGACCGACGGCGACGGCGACGACGACGACGGCCGACGGACGAGGACCGAGGGACGACGCCCAACGTCGACCACGATAACCGACGGCGACGAGCGCGCTCGCACAGGGCAGGGCTCCTGCTCCCGATCGTGTCCGGCGTGGTGCACGACCTGCTGGCGCACGCGGGGGGGCGGCAGACGGCGGCGGCGGCGACGGCAAGGAAGCACAGGCCTTCAATCATTCGAGGAGGAGGAGGAGGAGGAGGAGGAGGAGGCGGAGGAGGAGGAGGAGGAGGAGGAGGAGGAGGAGGAGGAGGAGGATGGGGTCGGAGCAGACGGGTTCCAAGGGTCGCTCCGCATCGCCAGTGCCTGAGGCGATGCGCCTCGATGCGGAGTGCAGTTTTCCTCGCGCCGACGTCGCCGATGCATCGCCGACGTCACCGATGCATCGCCGATGCATCGGGGATGCCTCGCCGATGCGCCGGCGATGCCGCGCGATCCTCCGACCCCATCTACTCGCTCCTTGTCCAGGAGGCCTCGAACTATCGCCGCAGTTCGCATTATCACTGTGCAAAAGCCTTGCGAAGACATGTCTCGGTGCTTCGGTCCTCGATGACGACGACGCGGGTGACGACGACTGCACGACGACGAAGACGACGACGACGAAGATCACGACAACGACGACGACGACCACGACCACGACGACGACCACGACCACGACGACGACGATCACGCCGATGATGACGACGACGACCACGACGACGACGACGACGACGACCACGACGACGACGACGGCGCGCTTGGCGGCGGCACGGGGCGCGCAGCGACGGCGACGCCGGCGAGGGCGCGAACCTGCCTCCATCTCCTCCTCCTGATCTCGACTACACGTAAGAGTGACCCTTCGCTGGAGTGACCTTTGGGGCGGGCGTATTGGTGTCCCCCGATCGCCGAACGCGATGCGATAGTAGCGCCTTGCGCGCTTGTGTCTGGTCCCCCCGCGGCCCCCCCAAGGCCGCGCACCACAGGTCACTCTCACCTAGGACCGCTCTTGCGTGTAGCCGATAATCGTCCTGGAGGTGTTTGGATGTTTGTTGACCCGCTCTGGGCGTCCAGGGGCCTCAGCCTGCCTCGGGAGGTCTGCGCGGACCTCCGGGGACCTCCGCAGACCCCCAGACCCTCTCTCCCCTCTTTTTGCTCCTCGCCGCGCACGCACGGAGGATGAGGGTGGGGCGTACAAATCGGCGGGAAGACAGGTGAAGGAGGAGGAGGAGGAGGAGGAGGAGGAGGAGGAGGAGGTCGGAGGTGGGAGGTCGAGGCGGAGGTCGAGGAGGAGGGAGGAGGAGGGATGAGACGGTGGGAGGAGGAGGAGGAGGAGCAGGAGGAGGAGGAGTAGGAGGAGGCGGAGGAGGAGGAGGAAAAGGAGGAGGAGGAGGAGAGAGAACGAGATAGGAGGAGAGAGGAGGAGAGAGGAGGAGAGAGGAGGAGCGAGATGGAGAGAGGAGGAGAAAGGAAGAGCGAGGAGGAGATGAGGATCAGGATGATTATGATGATGATGATGATGATGATGATGATGATGATGATGATGATGATGATGATGATGATGATGATGATGATGATGATGATGATGATGATGATGATGATGATGATGATGATGATGATAATGATGATGATGATGATGATGTGTGATGTGATGATGATGATGATGATGATGATGATGATGATGCTGATGATGTTGATGATGTTGATGATGATGATGTATGATGATATTGATGATGATGATGAATGTGATTACCGATGATGATGATGCTGATGACGATGATGATGATGATGACGATGATGATGATGATGATGTTTCATGCTGGTGATGATTGATTGATGAGGTGGAGGAGAGGAGGAGAGGAGGAGCAGGAGGCGGTGGAGATGGATGGGTGGGAGGTAGAGGAGGAGGGAGAAGGGAGGGAGGAACAGGAGAAGGTTAGGAGGAGGAGAGGAGGAGGAGGAGGAGGAGGAGGGTGGAGGTCGGTGTCGAGATGAGGAGGGGGAGGAGGACGGTTTGGAGGAGAACAAGAGTGAGGAGGGAGGAGGAGGCGAAAGGAGAAGGAGGCGTAGGAGGAGGAGGAGGAGGAGGAGGAGGAGGGAGGAGCAGGCTAGCAGCAGGAGCAGCAGGAGCAGGAGCAGGAGCAGGAGCAGGGGAGGGAGAGGAGGAGGAGGAGGACGCGGAGGAGAAAGAGAGGAGGAGCAGGGAGGAGGATGGAAGTGCAGGTGGAGGAGGAGGAGGATCAAGAGTTGGAGGGGACGGAGGAGGAGGAGGAGCAAGAACATACGGAGCAGGAGGGGGAGGCGGTGGAGGAGATGGAGGAGGAGGAAGAGGAGGAGGAGGAGGAGGAGGAGGAGGAGATGGCAGGTGGGGGGTAGAGGAGATGGGATGAGGATGATGAGGATGAGGATGAT